CACAGCAGGCCTGTGTGTTGTTGGATCTTCATTCAGTTGAGGTCAAAACTGTCCTATGCGTTGTTGGGTCTTCATTCAGTCTAGGTCAACCCTGTCCTACAAAGACAAAATACCATAATTCGCTAGAGTATGGAACTGAGAAAAATTACTTCTTAGCCAATTTTATTATAGGTAGGACATAGAAATCTGACAATTAGATGTTTTAGAAATGAAAATTATCTCCATAAAAAAAAATCTTGAGCTCACACTTGACAATACACTCAGCAATTTTGAGCGTGGCATGGTTGTTTGGTGCTGGTGCCGGTCTGAGTATTTCACAATCTTCTCAATTACAGTGATTTTCATGCACAACCATTTCTAGGGGTTGCAAAGAATAGTGTGAAAAGGGAAACAAATCCAGTTGGTCATGCTAGAGGTCAGAGAAGAATGGGCTGACTGATTCCAGCTGATAGAAGAGCAACTTTGACTGAAATAACCACTCGTTACAACTGAGGTATGCAGCAAAGCATCTGTGAAGCCACAACATGCACAACCTTGAGGTGGAGGGGACACCATGAAGCAAATTTTAGACCTGCACCAGGCTACCACCGGGTACCACTCATCTCCACTACAAATAGGAAAAAGAGGCTACAATTTGCAAGAGCTCACCAAAATTGGACAGTTGAAGACTGGAAAAATGTTGCCTGGTTTGATGAGTCTCGATTTATGTTGAGACATTCAGATGGTAGTGTCAGAATTTGGCGTAAACAGAATGAGAACATGGATCCATCATGCCTTCCTACCACTGTGCAGGCTGGTGGTGGTGGTGTAATGGTGTGTGGGATGTTTTTTTTTTTTTTTGGCACACTTTAGGTCCCTTAGTGCCAAATGGGCATCGTTTAAATGCCACGGCCTACCTGAGCATTGTTTCTGACCATGTCCGTTCCTTTATGGCAACCATGTACCCATGCTCTGATGGCTACTTCCAGCAGGATAATGCACGATTTCACAAAGCTTGAATCATTTCAAATGGTTTCTTGAACATGCCAATGAGTTCACTGTACTAAAATGGTCACCACAGTCACCAGATCTCAACCCAATAGAGCATCTTTAGGATGTGGTGGAACGGGAGCTTCGTGCCCTGGATATGCATCCCACAAATCTCCATCAACTGCAAGATGTTAACCTATCAATATGGTCCAACGTTTCTAAATAATGCTTTTCAGCACATCATTGAATCAATGCTACGTAGAATTAAGGCAGTTCTGAAGGTGAAAGGGGGTCAAACACAGTATTAGTATGGTGTCCCTAATAATCCTTTAGGTGAGTGCACACAATTCGTGTAGGTTTCGCTTTCCTCGCATGTTCGCGAAAAGTATGAACACTTTCCCTATTGACGCAGTGGGGAGGAAATTCTGCACAACCTCAATGACCAATGATGTTTTCGTCAGTGATGACGATAACGAAATGATTTCGTTGACGCACCGTTTTTTTTATGATGATTACGCAACGTAAAACACAGGTTTTATCGTAGTTTTTGTATCAAGTCAAGTCAATGGAGTGATATTTGTGTGAGCATATCAGTGAACATCCCTGACCACTCGGTGAGTTTCACGTCTTTGTAAACTAAAGTTTAATGCGTTTTATGACTGATTTTTCTAGGTGGGGGTGCTAACACACAAACCTAAAATTCTAAGGACAATAGCATTTGTCCAAATTTCTATCTTAACCGTTCTATTTCATCAGACTTAAAACAAACTTAAAACAGGGCTTTAAGTGTAAAATACCGAACTAACCAAGAACAAGGTCACACCAAGGCTTACCTAAGGACAGTAGATAGTCATGTGGTTGTGCTGGCCATCAATCTGTTCAAGGAGTTAGGCCTCTCAGGGCTGGGGATTGGATTTGGATCAAGTAAGGCATACTGTATAAAGATGTTCCAATCCACCATATTTCAGAAATGTTGGGATCTTAAAACTGCCAAACACTGCCCCTCTTCCATGCATTCACATGATGTGACATTCTATCAGCAATGTATGGAATTGGCAAATAAATAAATAAATACCTGCATGGAATAGTGTATAGCTTACGCAGAAGTCACCGACACCCTCATTGTGATCATCCAAGACCCAACCAGCCTCACACTGGAATCAGTGCACATGAACGCTGGACTGTACTCATGTATAGTAAGAACTGCAGTGTCAAGTCAGTCAATGAAGCCCAGAAGCTTCTTTTCACTCATGGCCTTCCTGGATTCAATCTCCCTGACTCAGCATGTCTTATTCCAGCATGGGAAGCATGCCCTGCACACTGAACTTTTGTCTGGAAGCAGTATCTCTCCAAAACTCATGAGATTCCAGACCCCAGTGAGTGGAGTTGGTAATGGATCTGATCTGGAAGATGTCAGCAAGGGATGCTAACTCTTCCTCAACTGTGGCTGTGTGGTGGAATATAAGTATTTGGTCAATAACAAAAGTTCAACTCAATACTTTGTAACATAACCTTTGTTGGCAATGACAGAGGTCAAACGTTTCCTGTAAGTCTTCACCAGGTTTGCACACACTGTAGATGGTATTTTGGCCCATTCCTCCATGCAGACCTCCTCTAGAGCAGTGATGTTTCGGGGCTGTCGCTGGGCAACTCCCTCCACAAATCTTTAATGGGGTTGAGGTCTGGAGACTGGCTAGGCCACTACGGAGCCACTGCTTTGTTGCCCAGGTGGTGTGTTTGGGATCATTGTCATGCTGGAAGATCCAGCCACGTTTCATCTTCAAAGCTCTCACTGATGGAAGGAGGTTTTGGCTTAAAACCTAACGATACATGGCCCCGTTCATTCTTCCCTCAACACGGATCAGTTTTCCTGTCCCCTTTGCAGAACAACAGCCCCAAAGCATGATGTTTCCTCCCCCATGCTTCACAGTAGGTATGGTGTTCTTGGGATGCAACTCTGCATTATTCTTCCTGCAAACACGACGAGTTGAGTTTTTACCAAAAAGTTCTATTTTGGTTTCATCTGACCACATGATATTCTCCCAATCCTCTTCTGGATCATCCATATGCTCTCTGGCACACATCACACAGGCCTGGACATGTAGAGACTTAAGGTGGGGACACGCCTGGCACTGCAGAATTTGAGTCCCTCTCGGTGTAGTGTGTTACTTATGGTAGCCTTTGCTACTTTTGTCCCAGCTCTCTGCGGGTCATTCATCAGGTCCCTCCGTATAGTTCTGGGATTTTTGCTCACCGTTCTCATGATCATTTTGACCCCATGGGATGAGATCTTGCGTGGAGCCCCAGATCGAGGGAGATTATCAGTGGTCTTGTATGTCTTCCATTTTCTTACAATTGCTCCCACAGTTGATTTTTTCACACCAAGCTGCTTGCCTATTGTAGGTTCACTCTTCCCAGCCTGGTGCAGGTTTACAATTTTCTTCCTGGTGTCCATTGACAGCTCTTGGCCATAGTTTGGAGTGTGACTGTTTGAGGCTGTGGAAAGGTGACTTTTATACAGATAACGGGTACAATAATACAGGTAACGAGTGGAGGACAGAAGAGCTTCTTAAACAAGTAGTTACAGGTCTGTGAGAGCTAGAAATCTTGCTGGTTTGTGGGTGACCAAATATTTATTTTCCACCATAATTTACAAATAAATTCTTTAAAAATCCAATTTCCTGGAATTTTTTTTTTTCTCATTTAGTCTCTCATAGTTGAAGTGTATCCATGATGAAAATTACAGACCTCTATCATCATTATAAGTAGGAGAACTTGCACAATCAGTTGCTGACTAAATACTATTTGGCCCCACTGTAGTTGTTTCCCCTGTACTCCTCTGGATGGAAACAAACTGTTGCTGGTTTTGTGGTTCTGTTTATCGAAACTGCATCCTGTTATATAACGCGATCAAACGTAAATTCACAAAATATCGTGTGTCCTCATGACTTCAGTTGTCAGTCATGGCCATGGCCGTTCTGCAGTTGCAAAGCAAAAATTACCAATCAGGTGCCAATTTCAAACTACAATAAACGTTTTTCAACAGACTAAAAACATGAAGCCCCACCCCTAAACCAAGCCCCCAGTGGATTAGAGCAAATTGGATAAAGCGGTTGAAAATGCCCATTGTAGTTTAAACACCCCACTGACTGAGAAAAACCCACTAGTGTTCTTCAGAGATAAATGCCTAAATGATCTTGTGTTCATCAACTACAAATAACCATTAGATCAATGTCACTGTCTCCACCCATGTGTGCTGTTGGCTTTCATCAACATTTCAATGCTGATCCAACCAATTTTAAACATTGAAATGTCAATCTCAACCAAAAAGAAGGTTTGGATAAAAACTCAACCTTGAATTAATGTTACCATGCTCTCTGGGTTGAATGAAACAAAGTAGAAAAAAATAATATACAGTATATATATATATATACACACACATACATATAACAATGTAAGACTGTAAACTGAAATCTACACTTTTCTTTCTTTTTAGTGAGGGCCAATTTGAAATTTAGTACCCGATTTTTGAAAACCTTTGGCATTTACCAAAAAAAAAAAAAAAAAAAAAAAAAAAAACTTTTACAGAAGTGCCCAATTTTCATGAATTGGATGGGGTCGGCAGTCATGCCAGCCTGCTTTTTTTTATGTTTATTGGTGCAAAAGAGACTCAAAATACTGTTAATTCAAGCTTATATATATTAGTGTTATACATTCAATCCGGTTAAGTGTCAACGCAGCTTGCAGAGCAACAAACTACCACACACACAATTATAGCAACCTTTTAACCATGTTGTTAGAATGATGGTACAATGTTCTTTTTGCTACAGTAGGAAGGAAACCCATTATTTTCTCAAAAAATAAATATCACTTTTGACTCAAAACACTTATCCATATGACAAAAGGACATCTTGAATGTGCAAGAAAGTTACAGCCTTTTGCATGGCAGAACTATGGACAGCGAAACAACGAATCAGTGAAAACAAAACCACAGATTGTATGAATCATCATTTAATGTGTTTTTTTTGGGGGATTGACAGTTAGTCTCAAATCTCTTGTGAAAATTGGCTAAACTCCTTATTGCAATTCTCCTTAGACTAGAGAATGATTAGATCAGTGGATGTGTGGCCCAAAACTAGACCACTCAGTCACACCCAGTCAGAACCAGACCCCTCAGGATCATCCAGGCTGAAGGTGGCATTCACAGAACCAGAAACCTGAGCATCCTCCTGGCTGCAAGTGGCGTTCACAGGACCAGAACACTGAGCATCATCCTGGCTGAAGGTGGCATTAACAGAACCAGAACCCTGATCATCATCCTGGCTGCAAGTGGCGTTCACAGGACCAGAACACTGAGCATCATCCTGGCTGAAGGTGGCATTAACAGAACCAGAACCCTGATCATCATCCTCGCTGCAAGTGGCGTTCACAGGACCAGAACACTGAGCATCATCCTGGCTGAAGGTGGCATTAACAGAACCAGAACCCTGATCATCATCCTGGCTGCAGGTGGCATTCACAGGACCAGAACACTGAGCATCATCCTGGCTGAAGGTGGCGTTCACAGAACCAGAACCCTGAACATCATCCTCGCTGCAAGTGGCGTTCACAGAACCAGAACACTGAGCATCATCCTGGCTGAAGGTGGCATTTACAGAACCAGAACCCTCAGCATCATCCTCGCTGCAAGTGGCGTTCACAGGACCAGAACACTGAGCATCATCCTGGCTGAAGGTGGCATTAACAGAACCAGAACCCTGAGCATCATCCTGGCTGCAAGTGGCATTCACAGGACCAGAACACTGAGCATCATCCTGGCTGAAGGTGGAGTTCACAGGACCAGAACCCTGAGCATCATCCTCGCTGCAAGTGGCGTTCACAGAACCAGAACACTGAGCATCATCCAGGCTTAAGGTGGTGTCATCATAACCGGACCCCTCAGCATCTTCCTGGCTAAAACTATCCTGGACAGAGTTAGCACCAACTTGATCATCTGCAGAAAGGGAGAGAAAGAAATTTTTTGCAGATGTAGAGCATGTTACATTAAGAAACACACACACACACACACACACACACACACACACAAAGAAAAATCCATCTTCAACTGAAGAGCCAAAAGCTAAGAAACGCATAGATATTTTAACAAAATACAGACAAGTAAATTTACTAAAAGCAAAAAACAAAGAAATCTAAACTCACCATGCCATACCAATTGAAGGTAGAGAACCACCAAAACAGCAATTTTAATCAAACCCATTCTATATCAGCACCTGAGACACCAAGAAAATCAATGTACGAATACAAGATAGAGTTTCAAAACAACCAGGCCTTTTATAGCCAAACAGAAATCTGTACCACCTGGATGACTCGTTAACACATTATTGGGATCTGGTAATGAATTAGATCAATGCTTAATTAATCAATCAGCATAAAAGTTGATAACTTATAGCCCATGTAACTAAATTTTTAATGTCTAAAAATGTCTTGTGATTGACCTCCACTGAATGAAGGCCCAACACACACTCTTACACACAGTCTTAGGCCTGGGTTCACAGACAGGCCTTAGATTAAGCCTTTGTCCAATTAGGACATTTAACCACCTTTTATAAACACACCTTGAAAAAACATTACTGGAGTGTATCTTGAGACAAAAAATGGCACTTACATATTTTAATGTTTGTCAGGGCAAGTTGCTTTCAGTTAAAACTTAAACATACATTTTATATTTTAGTCTAGGCTCAAGCTTTTTCTGTGAAACTGGACCACTGAGCACCAAATAAAGAGGACAAAAAAAGCAAAGTTGTCTCATTGTTAAAAAAATAAATAAAAAGTTAATCTGACCAAAACCAATTATATAACACAAACTTGATCTATTAAAGATGTTTGTGGCTTTTAGTTCATGCTGATTAGCTCTGCCTCTGAACCAGTTTATTGTTATGCCTCTGCAATAAACTGGCCATCCATACAGGGTGTTTTACTAGATGTCGATGATTAGTTTTGAGGTCAACTGTATGCCTCCAAAAACTGACAAACTGTTTATATTTCACCACCCCAACTTCTTCACCCCAAAAACTGGAATTGAAATTGTTCTGAACAAGAACTCCATGTGGTCTTTATCCAAAACATTAATAAATCTATCCTTGTTATAAAATTAAAGTGTCGATTCCTCGTATTAATTTTTTTTAAGATTAAATTAATAAGAGCAACCATTTTAAGAGCAACATGCAGGTTGAATTTATTTCTGAATTAATACTTTAAATTGTCTGCAGAGGTCTTTTAAAAACACATTTGTAGAAATGACTAATGAAATCTCATTTGATGTAGAGATTTTGATGAAAACGCGCTAGGCTCTGGAATACGACCTTTCCCGCAAGCAAAGCATCATATGACGTAGGCCGAGGCAAATAAAAGAGCTCGTGGTCCGCTTTCTCACTGTTGGGTGTTGATGTAGTTAGAGCAGTGAGAGACAGAAAGTTTTAGATTGAGTTTTAGAGAAGCCATAATTCCAGCCTGTCAGGACATCGTGTCCATCATTTTCCTTCAAGGAAAAACAAGGCTTTTCGGTATTGGGTGCGTTTTGTGCAGGTGAAGAGAGCAGACTTCACTGCCACGTCTGTTACCACACACTCGGTCGTTTGTGGCGCACATATCACTCGCTTTAAATGGTATCACTAACTGCAGTTGAAAAGCAAACCGAGCTAAAGCGAGCCAAGCCGTGTCAAGCCGATACCACGCAGTGGAAAAGCGAAGCGAGCCAAACTATACCGAGCGAGCTGAACCGGACCGACCGAGCCATGCCATGCAGTGGAAAAGCGCCATTAGACTGTTGTTATTGTAGCTTAGGTATTGTCATTGTTCATTTGTTTTGTTAGCCACGGTGCTAATTTACATTAACTCACCAAGTAACTTGCCCTATTCGCCACTGGTTTTCTTGACACCACAACTGTAACGTTACTTCTCTCCTCTGCCCATTGTTCCTCCCCCGATCTCCCCCTGACTTCTATCTTGCCTAGAAGGCTCATAATTATATGCCTGTGGGCCATCATAGGCATGTGCGTCAACATCGGAGAACTTGGTTTCTTCATTCGCATTCATTGTAACTGTGCTTAAACTTGAACAGACTCCCTCGCCGATCTTCACTTCCGGTTAGTGCTTCATAGGAAGATATTTTATCACAATTTTTCTTAAAATGTCGTTAATGGCTAAATATATTACTCCAGTTCAGAAAATCTAGTTATTTTATCATCAACATGTATGTTATACAGGGGTGTCCAACCTGCATCATAAGATGTAACTTAGTATCACACACAAGATTGACATTTTCAAGTGATTGTAAATGAATTGATTTTAAACAACAGTCCAACAAAGAAGGCAAACAAGTTTACATTTAACATAGATACATGCATACACGCGGATAGCTCAAAATGCATAGAGATAATACGCCACTTGATTAGAAACTTTTGGCGTGTATGTTTACGCAAAAGTCATGCTGTCATGTTACTTTTAGCACTATCACTGTTTTCGAGTCCAACTTTTCGAGAAACAAATTAATCATAGGACTCCAGACTTTTGAAAGCCTTTAATCTTTCATGAGTGAAGGGTTACCAATCCCCAGCAGATTGGTAAAACACGGGCGAGTCGGAGCAACATTTTTTTACATCCCAAATCACAGATGGGCTTTGAATAACTTCGATTTTGTCACTAATACAAATTTTGAACTTCTCTCCAAACCTCCTCCGATCTTCAGATGTTAAAGTGCTTATATATTGTGGATTTTGCCTACTAACTCTCTTGAAACTGCTTGTCGCTTCTTTACAGCCAGCCATTCTGTTTGTTTGTTGCCACACAACCACTCACGCATACGTACCAAGATGTCAACAAAGATCCTTCTATAAGATCAATCAGCATTAAAGCTGATGTTATAGCCTGCTTTTTTTTCTTATCAGTGCAAGAGAGACTCAAAATACTGTTGATTTCAATGTTACCATTATACATCATTCAATCCAGTTAAGTGTCAACACTGCTTGCAGTGCAACAACCTTACCACACAACATAGTCAGAGCAACCTTTTGACCATGTTAGAATGGTAGTACAACATTCTTTTTGCTAGGAAGAAAAGCCATCGTCCCCCCAAAAATAAAAAGCTTTGAATCAAAATACATATCCACATAATAAAATGACATCTTGAATGTGCCAAAAAGATCAATAACTAATTGACAAGAAACAAGGTTACCGCCTTTTGCATGGCAGAACTATTGACAGCAAAACAAAAAAAATCAAAACTACTAATCAGTGAAAACAAAACAAACTGTATGAATCATTTTTTTTATTTATTTTTATTTATTTATTTTTGATTGACAGTCTCAAATCTTCTGTTAATATTGGCTAAACTCCTTATTGCAATTCTCCCTAGACTTGAGAGAATGATTATATCTACCAAACTAGACCACTCAGTCACACCCAGTTAGAACCAGACCCCTCAGGATCATCCAGGCTGAAGGTGGCGTTCACAGGACCAGAACCATAAGCCTCAATCTGGCTGAAGGTGGTGTTCACAGAACCAGAACCCTGAGCATCATCCTGGCTGAAGGTGGTGTTCACAGGACCAGAACCATAAGCATCATCCTGGCTGAAAGTGGTGTTTACAGAACCAGAACCCTCAGCATCATCCTCGCTGCAAGTGGCGTTCACAGAACCAGAACACGGAGTATCATCCTGGCTGAAAGTGGTGTTTACAGAACCAGAACCCTCAGCATCATCCTCGCTGCAAGTGGCGTTCACAGAACCAGAACACGGAGTATCATCCTGGCTGAAGGTGGCGTTCACAGAACCAGAACCCTCAGCATCATCCTGGCTGAAAGTGGTGTTTACAGAACCAGAACCCTCAGCATCATCCTCGCTGCAAGTGGCGTTCACAGAACCAGAACACGGAGTATCATCCTGGCTGAAAGTGGTGTTTACAGAACCAGAACCCTCAGCATCATCCTGGCTGAAAGTGGTGTTTACAGAACCAGAACCCTCAGCATCATCCTCGCTGCAAGTGGCGTTCACAGAACCAGAACACTGAGTATCATCCTGGCTGAAGGTGGCGTTCACAGAACCAGAACCCTCAGCATCATCCTGGCTGAAAGTGGTGTTTACAGAACCAGAACCCTCAGCATCATCCTCGCTGCAAGTGGCGTTCACAGAACCAGAACACGGAGTATCATCCTGGCTGAAGGTGGTGTTCACAGAACCAGAACCCTCAGCATCATCCTGGCTGAAAGTGGTGTTTACAGAACCAGAACCCTCAGCATCATCCTCGCTGCAAGTGGCGTTCACAGAACCAGAACACTGAGCATCATCCAGGCTTAAGGTGGTGTCATCATAACCGGACCCCTCAGCATCTTCCTGGCTAAAACTATCCTGGACAGAGTTAGCACCAACTTGATCATCTGCAGAAAGGGAGAGAAAGAAATTTTTTGCAGATGTAGAGCATGTTACATTAAGAAACACACACACACACACACACACAAAGAAAAATCCATCTTCAACTGAAGAGCCAAAAGCTAAGGAACACATAGATATATTAACAAAATACAGACAAGTAAATTTACTAAAAGCAAAAAACAAAGAAATCTAAACTCACCATGCCATACCAATTGAAGGTAGAGAACCACCAAAACAGCAATTTTAATCAAACCCATTCTATATCAGCAACTGAGACACCAAGAAAATCAATGTAAGAATACAAGATAGAGTTTCAAAACAACCAGGCCTTTTATAGCCAAACAGAAATCTGTACCACCTGGATGACTCGTTAACACATCATTGGGATCTGGTAATGAATTAGATCAATGCTTAATTAATCAATCAGCATAAAAGTTGATAACTTATAGCCCATGTAACTAAATTTTTAATGTCTAAAAATGTCTTGTGATTGACCTCCACTGAATGAAGGCCCAACACACACTCTTACACACAGTCTTAGGCCTGGGTTCACAGACAGGCCTTAGATTAAGCCTTTGTCCAATTATTTAACCACCTTTTATAAACACACCTTGAAAAAACATTACTGGAGTGTATCTTGAGACAAAAAATGGCACTTACATATTTTAATGTTTGTCAGGGCAAGTTGCTTTCAGTTAAAACTTAAACATACTTTTTTTATTTTAGTCTAGGCTCAAGCTTTTTCTGTGAAACTGGACCACTGAGCACCAAATAAAGAGGACAAAAAAGCAAAGTTGTCTCATTGTTAAAAAAATAAATAAAAAGTTAATCTGACCAAAACCAATTATATAACACAAACTTGATCTATTAAAGATGTTTGTGGCTTTTAGTTCATGCTGATTAGCTCTGCCTCTGAACCAGTTTATTGTTATGCCTCTGCAATAAACTGGCCATCCATACAGGGTGTTTTACTAGATGTCGATGATTAGTTTTGAGGTCAACTGTATGCCTCCAAAAACTGACAAACTGTTTATATTTCACCACCCCAACTTCTTCACCCCAAAAACTGGAATTAAAATTGTTCTGAACAAGAACTCCATGTGGTCTTTATCCAAAACATTAATAAATCTATCCTTGTTATAAAATTAAAGTGTCGATTCCTCGTATTAATTTTTTTTAAGATTAAATTAATAAGAGCAACCATTTTAAGAGCAACATGCAGGTTGAATTTATTTCTGAATTAATACTTTAAATTGTCTGCAGAGGTCTTTTAAAAACACATATGTAGAAATGACTAATGAAATCTCATTTGATGTAGAGATTTTGATGAAAACGCGCTAGGCTCTGGAATACGACCTTACCCGCAAGCAAAGCATCATATGACGTAGGCCGAGGCAAATAAAAGAGCTCGTGGTCCGCTTTCTCACTGTTGGGTGTTGATGTAGTTAGAGCAGTGAGAGACAGAAAGTTTTAGATTGAGTTTTAGAGAAGCCATAATTCCAGCCTGTCAGGACATCGTGTCCATCATTTTCCTTCAAGGAAAAACAAGGCTTTTCGGTATTGGGTGCGTTTTGTGCAGGTGAAGAGAGCAGACTTCACTGCCACGTCTGTTACCACACACTCGGTCGTTTGTGGCGCACATATCACTCGCTTTAAATGGTATCACTAACTGCAGTTGAAAAGCAAACCGAGCTAAAGCAAGCCAAGCCGTGTCAAGCCGATACCACGCAGTGGAAAAGCGAAGCGAGCCAAACTATACCGAGCGAGCTGAACCGGACCGACCGAGCCATGCCATGCAGTGGAAAAGCGCCATTAGACTGTTGTTATTGTAGCTTAGGTAATGTCATTGTTCATTTGTTGTGTTAGCCACGGTGCTAATTTACATTAACTCACCAAGTAACTTGCCCTATTCGCCACTGGTTTTCTTGACACCACAACTGTAACGTTACTTCTCTCCTCTGCGCATTGTTCCTCCCCCGATCTCCCACTGACTTCTATCTCGCCTAGAAGGCTCATAATTATATGCCTGTGGGCCATCATAGGCATGTGCGTCAACATCGGAGAACTTGGTTTCTTCATTCGCATTCATTGTAACTGTGATTAAACTTGAACAGACTCCCTCGCCGATCTTCACTTCCGGTTAGTGCTTCATAGACGCGGAAGATATTTTATCACAATTTTTCTTAAAATGTCGTTAATGGCTAAATATATTACTCCAGTTCAGAAAATCTAGTTATTTTATCATCAACATGTATGTTATACAGGGGTGTCCAACCTGCATCATAAGATGTAACTTAGTATCACACACAAGATTGACATTTTCAAGTGATTGTAAATGAATTGATTTTAAACAACAGTCCAACAAAGAAGGCAAACAAGTTTACATTTAACATACATACATGCATACACGCGGATAGCTCAAAATGCATAGAGATAATACGCCACTTGATTAGAAACTTTTGGCGTGTATGTTTACGCAAAAGTCATGATGTCATGTTACTTTTAGCACTATCACTGTTTTCGAGTCCAACTTTTCGAGAAACAAATTAATCATAGGACTCCAGACTTTTGAAAGCCTTTAATCTTTCATGAGTGAAGGGTTACCAATCCCCAGCAGATTGGTAAAACACGGGCGAGTCGGAGCAACATTTTTTTACATCCCAAATCACAGATGGGCTTTGAATAACTTCGATTTTGTCACTAATACAAATTTTGAACTTCTCTCCAAACCTCCTCCGATCTTCAGATGTTAAAGTGCTTATATATTGTGGATTTTGCCTACTAACTCTCTTGAAAGTGCTTGTCGCTTCTTTACAGCCAGCCATTCTGTTTGTTTGTTGCCACACAACCACTCGCGCATACGTACAAAGATGTCAACAAAGATCCTTCTATAAGATCAATCAGCATTAAAGCTGATGTTATAGCCTGCTTTTTTTTCTTATCAGTGCAAGAGAGACTCAAAATACTGTTGATTTCAATGTTACCATTATACATCATTCAATCCAGTTAAGTGTCAACACTGCTTGCAGTGCAACAACCTTACCACACAACATAGTCAGAGCAACCTTTTGACCATGTTAGAATGGTAGTACAACATTCTTTTTGCTAGGAAGAAAAGCCATCGTCCCCCCAAAAATAAAAAGCTTTGAATCAAAATACATATCCACATAATAAAATGACATCTTGAATGTGCCAAAAAGATCAATAACTAATTGACAAGAAACAAAGTTACCGCCTTTTGCATGGCAGAACTATTGACAGCAAAACAAAAAATCAAAACTACGAATCAGTGAAAACAAACTGTATGAATCATTTTTTTTATTTATTTATTTTTTTTTTTTGATTGACAGTCTCAAATCTTCTTATTGGCTAAACTCCTTATTGCAATTCTCCCTAGACTTGAGAGAATGATTATATCTACCAAACTAGACCACTCAGTCACACCCAGTCAGAACCAGACCCCTCAGGATCATCCAGGCTGAAGGTGGCGTTCACAGGACCAGAACCATAAGCCTCAATCTGGCTGAAGGTGGTGTTCACAGAACCAGAACCCTGAGCATCATCCTGGCTGAAGGTGGTGTTCACAGGACCAGAACCCAGAGCATCATCCTGGCTGAAAGTGGTGTTTACAGAACCAGAACCCTCAGCATCATCCTGGCTGAAAGTGGTGTTTACAGAACCAGAACCCTCAGCATCATCCTGGCTGAAGGTGGTGTTTACAGAACCAGAACCCTCAGCATCATCCTGGCTGAAAGTGGTGTTTACAGAACCAGAACCCTCAGCATCATCCTCGCTGCAAGTGGCGTTCACAGAACCAGAACACGGAGTATCATCCTGGCTGAAGGTGGCGTTCACAGAACCAGAACCCTCAGCATCATCCTGGCTGAAAGTGGTGTTTACAGAACCAGAACCCTCAGCATCATCCTCGCTGCAAGTGGCGTTCACAGAACCAGAACACTGAGTATCATCCTGGCTGAAGGTGGTGTTCACAGAACCAGAACCCTCAGCATCATCCTGGCTGAAAGTGGCGTTTACAGAACCAGAACCCTCAGCATCATCCTGGCTGCAAGTGGCGTTCATTGAACCAGAACACTGAGTATCATCCTGGCTGAAGGTGGCGTTCACAGAACCAGAACCCTCAGCATCATCCTGGCTGAAAGTGGCGTTTACAGAACCAGAACCCTGAGCATCATCCTGGCTGAAGGTGGTGTTCACAGAACCAGAACCCTGAGCATCATCCAGGCTAAAGGTGGTGTCGTCATAACCGGACCCCTCAGCATCATCCTCGCTAAAACTATCCTGCAGTTGGACAGAGTTAGGACTGCATGCACCAACTTGATCGTCTGCAGAAAGGGAGAGAAAGAAAGATTTTGCAGATATAGAGCATGTTAGATTAAGAAACACACACACACAAAGACAAATCCATCTTCAAATGGAGAGCCAAAAGCTGAGAAACATAGATATTTTAACAAAATACAGACAAGTAAATTTACTATAAGCAAAAGTAAACTCACCATGCCATACCAATTGAAGGTAAAGACCCACCAAAACAGTAATTTTAATCAAACCCATTCTATATAAGAAACTGAGACGCTAAGAAATCAATGTAAGAAGCCTTTTAAAGCCAAACAGAAATCTGTACCACCTGGATGACTCGTTAACACATCATTGGGATCTGGTAATGAATTAGATCAATGATGAATTAATCAATCAGCATAAAAGCTGGGCTGCGTTCAGCCCCGACAAAACGTTGCACAACGTTTTTTAAACAGAAACGGTGATGTGTTGAACACACTGTTCTGATGACGCAAGAGTTGCAGCTATGGCAGCTGAGAAGGCCATTCTTTGTGTCCTTTGTGAAAAATTTTCAGAGCATGATGAAGTCGCTATACTGTTAATATATGTTTAATACTATAAAATATGCCCGATGTTACAGTTACTGCACTTGCTGCCCAGAACACAAGAGAACATCCCAATTGAGTGAAGAGATTTGTGGAAACTGAAATGGAAGCAGATGTTTACCTAATTCAGACTACATTCTATTTAGCCTCACTACTGACTTTAATTGTAGTTCATACTGTTTTAATACCCTGTTTTTTCTTTCTTATTTTTTAAGAAAAGCACTTAATTGCCATTGTTTATTTATACCAAATGTCATACTTGCAATGAAGCTAAACATATAAACAACTACATCATTATGTTGATATGCTAGATATTTTTACAATAAAACCTACGACAAACATGTCTTCTAATATCCAGCTGTTGCATATAGGCTACTGAGCTGCATTGAACACATTTGTAAATTACTTTCCTTGAACCCATTGAGCGAGTTCACGTTAATGCCCGCGTGCTTTATATACATGTTGCTGCTGATTGGACTGGAGTTCTGACACACCCACCAAACATGAGCAAATGTATCTGAAACAATAGACATCATAGAGCATCACAGTCTGGCCCACAGCCGGTGCCGGAAGTAAAAATTCAATACAATTTCTCAATTGACATTTGGGATATAAGCCATAAAAATGTAACCATAAATGGTAGACTTAAAACCAGCTATGGCTGTAGTAAGTGAAATGCTCATATAAACGCCAAACGATCATGGGGCACTTATCTTGTTTTAAGATAAATCCCTTTTATTCGCGATGTATTGAATAAGTACTTCATTACCCACAATCCTGAACAATCCCACAGTGATGCATCTGATTGGTGGAAGTCGTGTCACGTGTCTGAAACCCGCGAAGGCGCGCGACGACTGAAGATCGCGTAATGACGTAGGGCTAAGTTCATTGGTCGCACCTCAGAGACGACCCCGCACCATTGGATATACAGTAACCAGAGCTTAGCCTATGAGCGAGCAAGATGCTCAATGTTTTAGCATGTGCATAAGCTTCAGTAAATCGAGAAAAAGGATTTTCCCTTTACATTCACTATATAAAACTCACTGGAGGAAAAAGTTCACGCGGCCATCGTCAGATTTGGAAGTCACTCAAAAGGCTCTTTCACGGTGGCTTTCAGACGACTTCAGTGAGGCGCGGTGCTTTATGGGAGGAGTAGTTCCTTTGCTTGGAAATTAAAATATGTACACAGGCTTGTACCTTTGACTTTTTTTGGATTTTCTCTTCGTTTTTTTTTAACTCGAAATGATATGCTGTATGCTTATGAGTTCAGCCGTAGCTGGTTATCCTCAGACATGATCTTATACTCTTTAGATACATTTTACAAAATGTCAATGGGAGAAATGAATAGGAAATTTACTTCCGGCACCAGCTCTCTCTCGGGCTGTGGGCGGGACTGTGATGCTCTATAGGTAGACGCCCTATCCACCACTACTGCCTATTGGCATGGACGAGAATTGGAGCCGCCATCTTAAACCGGTCATCCGCTCCACTCAGTGTAATCTGTATGGCAGGTGAAAATGAGCTGTCAGCACATTTAATGAATCATATCTCACTGAATACTGAACTGATTTTCACAATTTTTTTTTTTTTTTTTGCTGCAAAGGTCATTCATGTAGCTATGATACAGGACACATGGTTCGACATATCTTAATATCCATAGTAGGCTGAACAGTAATATAATGTTCTGACATAAGATATAAAGTGACCAGACACAATATGTGTGATGAAGGATATAATGTATTTTAGAAATCACACACTATAAATATGATAAAGAAGCGGTTACAGTAAAGTAAGATATTTTAATAAGTTGAAGAAACAATTCATGATTTGAGACACGGACACACTCTCTCTCACACACACACACACACACACCGGGCGCAGCCATCTGTAATAAAAATTGAGCTTTTCAACGCGTTTGCATCAGTAATTTCTAAAAATTAAAATTCGTACAACATTAAGCCTATACCTTCTTATTGTATGTGGGAGGGGAAAATGTCAAGATTAAAGGCCTATTCGGATTAACTTTACAAGGGGAGATGAAGAACTGATCTGCACTTCGGATTCTGACCGGATATATATAGTAGAACATCCGGGTCTCTTTAACACTCATTTCAACATACAACGATTTGGGACATACTAATTCTATTTTCAAATACTATTTAGGATGGATAGTATGCAAATTGGGACGCAGTGAGTGTTTCAAAACAACCAGGTCTTTTAAAGTCAAACAGAAATCTGCACCACCTGGATGACTTGTTAATGCATCATTGGGGATCTGGTAATGAATAAGATCAATGATTAATCAATTAGCATTAAAGCTGATGTTATAGCCTACTTTTTTTTTCTTATCAGTGCAAAAGAGACTCAAAATACTGTTGACTTCAATCTTATCTATCAGCGTTATACATCATTCAACCCAGTTAAGTGTCAACACAGCTTACAGTGCGACAACCTTACCACCAAACATAGTTTTAGCAACCTTTTGACCATGTTGTTAGAATGATGGTCCAACATTCTTTTTTCTAGGAAGGAAACCCAGTATTTAAAAAAAATAAATTGCTTTGACTCAAAATACATATCCACATAATAAAAAAAGGACATTTTGAATGTGCCAACAAGATCAATATCTAATTTGACAAAAAAGTTACAGCCTTTTGCATGGCAGAACTATTGACATCAAAACAAAGAATCAGTGAAAACAAAACCACAGACTGAATGAATCATCGTTTAATGATTTATTTATTTTTTTGCTTGACAGTTAGTCACAAATCTCCAGTTAATATTGGCTAAACTCCTTATTGCAATTCTCCTTAGACTAGAGAATGATTATATCAGTGGATGTGTGGCCAAAACGAGACCACTCAGTCACACCCAGTCAGAACCAGACCCCTCAGGATCATCCAGGCTGAAGGTGGCATTCACAGAACCATAAGCATCAACCAGGCTGACGGTGGTGTTTAGATGACCAGAACTCGGAGCATCATCCTGGCTGAAGGTGGCGTTCACAGAACCCTGATCATCATCCTCGCTGCAAGTGGCGTTCACAGGACCAGAACACTGAGCATCATCCTGGCTGAAGGTGGCGTTCACAGAACCCTGATCATCATCCTGGCTGCAAGTGGCGTTCACAGGACCAGAACCCTGATCATCATCCTCGCTGCAAGTGGCGTTCACAGGACCAGAACACTGAGCATCATCCTGGCTGAAGGTAGCGTTCACAGAACCCTGATCATCATCCTCGCTGCAAGTGGCGTTCACAGAACCAGAACACTGAGCATCATCCTGGATGACGGTGGCGTTCACAGAACCAGAACCCTGATCATCATCCTCGCTGCAAGTGGCGTTCACAGGACCAGAACACGGAGCATCATCCTGGCTGAAGGTGGCATTAACAGAACCAGAACCCTGAGCATCATCCTCGCTGCAAGTGGCGTTCACTGAACCAGAACACTGAGCATCATCCTGGCTGAAGGTGGCGTTCACAGGACCCTGATCATCATCCTGGCTGCAAGTGGCGTTCACAGGACCAGAACACTGAGCATCATCCTGGCTGAAGGTGGCGTTCACAGAACCCTGAGCATCATCCTCGCTGCAAGTGGCGTTTACAGAACCAGAACACTGAGCATCATCCTGGCTGACGGTGGCGTTCACAGAACCAGAACCCTGAGCATCATCCTCGCTGCAAGTGGCGTTCACAGGACCAGAACACTGAGCATCATCCTGGCTGAAGGTGGCGTTCAAAGGACCCTGATCATCATCATCCTGGCTGCAAGTGGCGTTCACAGGACCAGAACACTGAGCATCATCCTGGCTGAAGGTGGCGTTCACAGGACCCTGATCATCATCCTCGCTGCAAGTGGCGTTCACAGGACCAGAACACTGAGCATCATCCTGGCTGAAGGTGGCATTCACAGAACCAGAACCTTGAGCATCATCCTCGCTGCAAGTGGCGTTCACTGAACCAGAACACTGAGCATCATCCTGGCTGAAGGTGGCGTTCACAGAACCAGAACCCTGAGCATCATCCTCGCTGCAAGTGGCGTTCACTGAACCAGAACACTGAGCATCATCCTGGCTGAAGGTGGCGTTCACAGAACCCTGAGCATCATCCTCGCTGCAAGTGGCGTTCACTGAACCAGAACACTGAGCATCATCCTGGCTGAAGGTGGCGTTCACAGAACCCTGATCATCATCCTCACTGCAAGTGGCGTTCACAGGACCAGAACACTGAGCATCATCCTGGCTGACGGTGGCGTTCACAGAACCAGAACCCTGAGCATCATCCTGGCTGAAAGTGGCGTTCACAGGACCAGAACACTGAGCATCATCCTGGCTGAAGGTGGCGTTCACAGAACCAGAACCCTGATCATCATCCTGGCCATCCTGCAGTTGGACAGAGTTAGGACTGGAGGCACCAACTTGATCATCTGCAGAAAGGGAGAGAAAGAAAGTTGTGGATGTAAACTAGGGGTTTCACAACTACTGATTTTTGCTAGTCGACTAGTTTTGCATAACAGTCGACGACTAGTCGACTAGTCGTTAAATTCTAGGGGTGTGCGACAACACGAATAGTAAATGTCTCCACGATCTGCTTTTGAAGAAATATGGTAGTAGTATCGTGTTACAGTGCATTCTATCAGTTCTGGCGCCTCTCAACTGTACAACGCGACGTAGCCTAAACATCACACGTTAAGGAATAGGTACGGGACACTGCAATTCACAAAAGTTCATTGTTTGCATAAGCCTTGCCGGTTAAACATTTAATTCACGCGCTGTTCTAACGTGCGCTTTCCTGAGCGCGCGGCATATCCCCGACGCTCACAGGCATTAGAAGCCTGTCGAACAGCGCCTGAATACTGGACTAAGTTATCTTTCAAGTCTTATTATGCTAATACTGTTAAATACACACAATGTTTACATAAACAGAATTGGCTATGTCTAAAGTGCAGCCTCCCCATATAGAAAGTGAAAGCAAACATTTGAGAGAAAATCTGGTGTAGGCTAATATGCGGCTATATTAAACACGTCGCGTGCTGGTCTAAAAGCGAGAGTAGTACTCGTATTTTCCGAACTATAAAGCGCACTTAAAAGCCTTTAATTTTCTCAATCTGGCCTTTTCTCAAGCTTTATAATCCATCCGCTTTGTCACACGGCCAGTTCAACCTCGTATAAAATATCTCCCGCTCACGAGCGCTCTCTCTAACACACACACGAACAGACACTGCTGTCAGCAGGCTGCGAATGTAAGTTACGTGCCCGCCCCAGCGGGCTCACGCTTACTAAATAAACGCCTCACCTCCGACGCCGCGCACTCGCTGCATTCCCTTTAGCACATCTAGAGGATGCATAACGCAAACCCAGTCAAACGTTTGAAAAATTTTCTAAAATAGGTCATTGAAGGTGCGCCTTATAGTGCTTATAGTATATAGTACTGCCGCTTGTATTTAAAGGGATAGTTAACAAAATAAATAAATCTATATATATGTCATCATTTTGTTTCCGACTAGTCGACTAAGGCCAACAGCGCCAACTAGTGGTTGTGACAGTCGACTAGTCGACTAGTTGATGAAACCCCTAATGTAAACCATGTTAGATTAAGAAACACACAAGAAAAAAGAAATCCATCTTCAACTGCAGAGCCAAAAGCTGAAAAACACATAAACATATCAACAAAATACAGACAAGTAAACTTACTATAAGCAAAACTAAACTCACCATGCCATACCAATTGAAGGTAAAGAACCACCAAAACAGTAATTTTAATCAATCCCATTCTATATCAGAAACTGAGACACTAAGAAAATCAATGTAAGAAGACACGATAAAGTTTCAAAACAACCAGGCCTTTTATAGCCAAACAGAAATCTGTACCACCTGGATGACTCATTAACACATTATTGGGATCTGGTAATGAATCAATGATTAATTAATCAATCAGCATAACAGTTGACGTTATAGCCCAGGGCTGCGTTCAACCCAGACAGAACGTTGCACAACGTTTTTTTAAACAGAAGCGGTGATGCGTTGAACACCCCGTTCTGATGACGCAAGAGTTGCAACTATGGAGCCCGATAAGGCCATTCTGTTCTTTGAGAAGAATTTTCGGAGCCTGATGAAGTCGGTATAAATATTTGTTTAATATTACAAAATATACCCGATGTTACAGTAACTGCATTGCCGCCCAGAACACAAGAGAACATCCCGATCAATTGAAGGGATTTGTGGAAACTGAAAGCACACATTACCTAATTCAGACTAAAACACATTCTGTTTAGCCTCACACACTAACTTTATTTGTATTTCATAATGTTTTAATAACATAGTTTCTTTATCATTTTTAGGAAAAGCACTTATTTTTTATTTCTATACCAAATGTCATACACTTGCAATGAAGCTAAAAAATATAATAAACTACACCATGTTGATATCCTATATTTTTACAATAAACAACAAATGTCTTCTAATATCCTCAGTTGTTTCATATAGCGATCTGCATTGAACACATTTGTAAATTATTTTCCTTAACCTATTGTGCGAGTTCACTTTAATACAGCGTGCTTTATATACATGTTGCTGCTGATTGGATTGCAGTTCTGACACACCCACCAAACGAGAGAAAACAGATCTCAAACCCCGTTGCACACCGGTGCACACCGTTTCCTGGAAACATAACGTTCAACTAGGAAACCGTAGCAAAACATTGCGCACCGTTTTGAACTTGAATGTGCCACATGTACCTAAATTTTTAATGTCTATTAAAATGTCTTGTGATTAACCTGCACTGAATGCACCTTCGTCCAATTAGGAAATTTAACCAGCTTTTATAAACACGTCTTGAAAAACCCTTACTGGTGTGTATCTTGAGACAAAAAATGGAACTTGCATATTTTAATTTTTGTCAGGGCAAGTTGCTTTCAGTTAAAACTTAAACATGCATTTTATATTTCAATCTGGGACTAGGCTCAAGCTTTGTCTGTAAAACTGGGCAGTGCAGTTTTATTCCACATCAACTGGAGAAAAAAAGCACCAAATAAACAGGACAGAAAAAGCAAAGTTGTCTCATTAAGAAAACTAAAAATAAAAGTTCAGTACCAAATTTTAAATATTTGCAAATTAAAAAATTAAATATTTTCTTATATGATTTCTCTGGAAACAATCAGTCTAAATTTAAACTGACACATCTGACCAAACCAATTATATAACACAAACTTGAGCTACCAACCACACAAGCTAGTTCCAAACCAGCCAGGGTTGCGTTTCCCGAAAGCATCGTTTGCCAACTATGGTCGCAAGTTGGTCGCAATTTCCAATGAACTCCATTGGTAACGACGGAACTTGCGACCATAGTTGGCTAACGATGCTTTCGGGAAACGCACCCCTGATCTATTAAAGATGTTTGTGGCTTTTAGTTCATGTTGATTAGGTCTGCCTCTGAACCAGTTTATTGTTATGGCTCTGCAATAAACTGGCCATCCATACAGGGTGTTTTACTAGATATTGATGATTAGCTTTGAAGTCAACTGTATGTCTCCAAAAACTGACAGACTGTTTATATTTCACCACCCCAACTTCTTGAGAGAAAATCGGAATTAAAATTGTGCTGATCAAGAACTCCGTGTGGTCTTTATCCAAAACAACAGAAGAACGAATAAGAAAAGGCATGAAAGACCTTCCTAAAGACAGTCCGATAACAACATGCTTGAATTTAAAATGTCTGGAGGTCTGGCACTAACAAGCATCCAAGCAGCTGTCACTGTCTTTCTGTGCAGTTATCACAGCGTTTCACTGATCTAGGTCAAGGCTGCTGGCAGTACTACAGGAGAAATTGAGCCAAAATTTTCATTTAAACAGAAAGATTCTGATGATGAGGCCTAGTTTGTTTCATGTGCCAGACGTTTTCTAATTTTGTCAATTTGTGAAATAACAGTGCGTCTGTGCTAATGAAAAGCAAAGCATCAAAGATGCTGTATGTGTGAACCGCTTGGCATCACAATGTACACATTAAACCTCTTTTGTATTGAGATTAGTTTATCATTAACTTCTGTTCATTTTAATTAGATTCTTCCATTCCTTTACATTTCACTTTTTTTGCAGTTTCAATTAACTTTTGCAGTTTTCTTTTCAACTGTTAGCTTTTCATTTTAATTCTGATTTTTTTTTTTTTTTTTTTTTTTGCTTATAGGCCAACTCGGATGTGTGATTTCCTCCATCAAAAGAGCTCTGTGAGGATATACTGTAAGAATAAATGATTTAAAAATACAGTATGTATGGAAGAGTGCAGCAGTAATCTGACATCATCATAAATTACGTACAGAAGCTGCCCAAGGTCAGTCACACAAATCTGTGTTTTAACATTTAAAAAAAAATGTCTTCTTAGTCCCCATCACCCATTCGGTACTCTAGTATGCACGTTCATCTCAGTGTTCAAGCGTCCTGTCAAGACTTCTGGAGTGTGGGCCACGTTTCCCCTGCCAAACGCCTGGGCTTGCCCTGGGCTCTTTCTCTTCCACTTTCCCTCAGTTCTTCTATTCCTTCAGAAAGCTCCAGTCTGTCTAGATTAAAGACGGTGTGAAATTGATGCTTGGATGCTTTCAAAGGGCTTCTGCTTTATCTCATTTTCCGTAAAGCCTCAAACCTCATTTTGCACCCTTATCACTACTTCCCTGAGTAATCTTTAATGGCACTACCATATTTATTTATTTTTTGTCCTAAAATAAAATATCCAGCATATCGGTAGGTGTTGAGATTATCATCTCTTACAGACGTTCTGAATACAGCTGCATACTAACTGTTTTTAATATGTAGTATATTGTTTTCTGAAGTGGTTATTTTTTTCATTTGAAATTTGAATCATTTGAAATGATTTTTATTTCGCATGTGTAACCGGAATGGGGAGACTGTGCCTTTACTTTGACAGGTGAGGTGATAGGGCAGATGAAGTTTAAAGTCTCGCTACTATTGATAAAGCAGCCTTTGTTTTTGTTTTTCCTCTGACGAACTAGTGTGTTTGTTTTCCTACACTGCTGGATTTGGCGATTTAAAGTGAGTAGACACACTTACTTTTATTTATATGAGTCGTAATTGTCAGGAGATATGCAAGCACATATTCACAATATTTGATATTAGGAATATTCCATTGCCGATGGCCTTTTATAAGCTGTGTATGTGTGTGTGACTCTGTGTTTGGATTCGATGACTTTAAGGGTTAGTTCACCCAAAAATTGTTGCTGCATACCCCTCTGAAACTGGGTAGTTGCACCCCTACCTACAGCAGACCGGAGATCTCTCCATTTGTTGAAAGCTTCCCGATGTTGACTCTCGTCTCATTCCGAGGCCTGGCACTAGACACAAGTTTTATTTTCTTTGTCTTACGTGGAGTTTGCGTTGGGGTTTGGAATGAACTACAAGCTGGTCTCTTTGAATCCATCTTCTACTTTTGTGGAAAGTTGACTAAAGTTGTGTCGATCGAGTTGCCTTCGCTGTGGATGTGGGCTTCGTGTGGATGTGGCCTATATCATGGGGTAATTTTCATTTTGGGGTGAACTAACCTTAAATTTGAGTGAATGACTCACTTCTACCTCTCAAGAGACGGCTGCATCTCACGGTCAACAAAATGAGCCATATAATACTTCTGTAAGGTAAGTGAGTATTTTATAATGGCTTTGTTTTATTTGTGGAATATGTTGATTTGTATGTACATTAAAGCTCAAACCCTTCATGGGCGTAGTGGCTTCTGTTTATTTTCCTGCCAAAATGTGAGATTTATTTGTTCCTTTGTTATTCTGTGTGGCTTTTTTTGTACTGTATGCAGTCCTAAATGTATATTTAATCTGAATTCCATGCCATTGTAGATTAATGTGATCGTATGGTCTTCATCGTTGTGTAAATCTTCGGTTTTATTTATTGGTGTATCTATATAAGGAAGGTCTTATTTTTACTTTTGGGTTGTTTCACATATTTGCTGAAAATGTTTGCTTTATTTTTATTTATTTTTTATTCACTATTGTTTCCTCCCATATGACGTGTTAAACAATTGATAATTGAATTTTTGATTTGCTTGATGATCACATCTACTATCCATGTTCCTTGCATAAGGTGTGTTACTCAGCTACTGTACTAATTTAATTTTGATTCACTTTATTTAAGTGTCATACCCGTTATTTATTTTATTGGTTATTCCCTGATTAATGTTAGCTTTAAATTTGGAGTTTAGTTGAATTATTGACAGTATTTTTATTTTTCATTCACCTGGCCTGCATTCCTTCATTAAGAGACCATATTGCTGCCTATAATCGGGGTGTACTGTCCTGTTTGGAGTTTGTTTTTGTCATAGTTATAGTTTGTTTTTCTGTTTGATTCAGTTTCCTTGTCATGTTTCAGTTTGTCATTGTCTCTAGTTGAATTAGTTCTGTTCCCTCAGTTTCCCCATCTGTTTGTTTCTATGGTTACAGATGAATTAGAGTCCTCGGTTCAGTTGTGCTCCTTGGTTTTATTTATTTAAGAATTTTTGATTGATTTATTGGATTTATAAAAAAGTAAAAGAAGTGGTCACACTTTTTTTCAGTTATATGTCTGAGATTTCCTCTTTCAAGTCTCTTTAGACCCGTGACAGACATATTTGGATCCCCTCAAACAACAATAACTGCACGTTTATTGTTATATACAATATAACTGAGTACTTTTTTTTTTATTACAATAAATATTGCTTCAGTATCTTGCATTTAAAAACTAAATAAAACATTTAGTTGACAGGTTATACAAAACTTTTATCTTTATTTTGGATCTAATACTGTCCCACTTTATAGTTCACTCTACAATTTACATTTAATTG